TTGTCAAAGAGGTAGAAAGACACTTATGTCCTGAATAAACTATTCTTACGAAAGCTGACATCAACGAACACACTTAAACGTAGTCGTGTATTCAAGCCCTCACGCACTCAATAAAATAACATTTTACAAAAAGACACGCTCAACATTTTCACAGATTTAGCCTTTACCAAATACTGCGTCTGCTGCACTTTTGATACTACAGTAGTCCATACTGCGATCTAAATATCATTTGTATTAATTGTGCAGCCTTAGTTCGATACATTCAAACACGAACAATTCAGAGTCAAATCCATTTATTTAAAAAAGTAAAAAACTGTAAAACAGAAAAATTCAAAACATTATCTAAAACTATTTATATTTGAAAACATGTAATAAAATCTTTAACAAATAATTTAATTTTCCCGAAAAAAAAAAAACGTGTGTCATGTGATCAGAGTTGCCCTCTGCCTTCTTGCCGCTTTAAGGTAACAGTGGCATTGCAGTGTTGTGGTTTCCCATGCTCACTGAGGAAGTAAACCAGTCGACTTGTGTTTCATAAAATTGAAAAGTGAGTCTGTAAAGCAGTCTCTGGTGTCACTGCGTGCTGTACGGCTGCTCCTCTGTGGACCAGCTGGACGTGGCAGACGGTGTGTTGGCAGCGTTTGACGGTCCTGTGTCGTAACCCAGTTTCCTCATGTCTTTAGTAATGATGTGAAAGGAGACCGTGACGAAGCCTTGGGAACGGACCCGAGTAACTGCAACACAAAAAAGAAAGAAATATAAAGAAATATCTTTTTTATACAAGCAGCGGCACACAAGCAGCGGTTTGATTGGCTAGAGCTTGTACTGGCATATGATTTGATTGGCTGACGCCTCCACCGAAAGCTTCAGAAGCTTCAAAAGTTGAACATTGCTCAACTTTTGCAGCCTGAAACGCCAGGAAAGCTCCGCTCTGCTACCCACAATTCAGTTCGGCGAAAAGCGAGGCAACGTGACGTGACCCCGTTCAAAGTGAATGGGCAGACGCGTTGGAAACCGTTTTTAAAGCTGTCGAAGCTGTAGTGTGGACGGGCCGTAACTGTTTAGCGTAGCTGGAAACGGGGGAAACAGCTCGCTCTGCCCTGTCCAAAATAACACATTCACAGGGACTGTAAGAAGGTCAAAACGGATTTTACAAGAAGTAGTCTGAAAGGCCGAACTTTAGTTGCTCGTGTGTGGATCGAAAATCCTGAATTTGCACACTTTGCTAGAATGTTAGCAGGATTCGCTACCTTGCAATATACCAAACATCAATTTATCAAATCAACGCCTTGACATCTTGCTAATTTAAAATCCAGTCTAGCAGACAGCTTTGTCCAAACTGTTTGAGGTAAATGCCTAAACATAAAACATAAGCCTAAACATAACTATCTAGCAATTTCTTTTTTTTTAAATCGAGGGTTTCCGTTTAGCTGCAATCTTTCTAAAATCAGGCCTTCAAAGTCAATGCCCAACTATTAACAAGCGTTTTTACAAATTGAGGTTTACCATCGAGCCAATTATGTTTTCTAAGGTTGGCCATTCGGGATAAATGCTTAACCTTCTTGTGATTGCAGATCAAGGTTTACCATGTACGTAGACATGACCCTTATTTTGGCTGGGGGCAGTGACTTCCTGGAGTTATTCAATTAGTAATCTTGAGAGGTGCTGGTTGATTGATTTTGCCACCTTTGTCAGAGCACCTCTATGCTAAGCAAAGTGTATGATTTAGCTTCCTTGCTGTTTTTCTGCCAGAAAGCAACTACTGTAGGAGTATTTCCTTAAACTCGTCCTTCAGTTGATGCATGTATTTGTTCTTTAGTGGATCAGTTTTCTTCAGTGCTGGGTCTCCACCTCCACCACGGTCCAGTCTCCGGGGGGGGAGCTGCCCCTGCTGTCGGGGGAGAAGCTGCTGACGGAGGTGACTGTGGCAGCGGGCGGGGGAGCGCTGAGCTGCAGGTCGGGCCACAGGCTGCTCTCCAGGGGGCTCAAGGTGCCTCCAGTGCCCACGGGGAGGAGCAGCAGAGGGGGGAGGCCTCCGTCTCCGGACAGCATCAGGGTCTGGTTGATGAGCTGCTGCACCATGTCCACCTTCCTGTTCCACTCCAGGTCCTGAGGAGGCACCGGGCGCAGCTGGAAGTCCTGATTGGCTCCCTGAGCGGAGGGCTTCCTGTTCTGCTCCCCGTCCTCCTCGTCGCTCGTCTCCATCGCCTCGTAGATGGTGCAGAGCCCGGAGGACGGAGACAGCATGACTCCAGTGGGGCTCCTCCTGAGCTGCTGCTGCTGCTGGAGGTGTTTCTGCTGCATGCGGTACTGCTGCTCCAGCTCCAGCTGCCACTGGAGGACCTGCCTGCGCTGCCGGTGCTGCTGCTGCTGCTGGAGCTGCAGCTGGAGCAGGTCCCTGCGCTGCTGCTCCAGCTGCTTCTGCTGATCCAGCCTCAGACGCTCCTCCTCCAGCCACTGCCTCTTCTGCCGCTCCTGCTCCTGACGGTGCTGCATCTCCTTCAGCTTCTCCTGGTGCTGCTCCAGCTTTCTCAGCTGCTCTCCTCCGGCGGCGGCAGCTTCTATCAGAGGAGAACGGGGGGCCATGTCAGCGAAATGAGCCGCGACAGTCGGGTCGATGGGCCTCCTGTTGCCGGGCACCAGAGCCAAGTAGTGTCCGTTTCCTATGGGATCCTCGTCGTCATCGCTGTGGTTCTGGTTCCAGTTGTCTTCCTGCGAGAGCGTTTGCAGATGTTCGTCCACGTGTTGGTCCGTCTTCTCGTCTCCTGTGAGACAGTCAAGATCACTTGGTGCATCCGTTAGAGATGCATGCAGCAAACAGAACGGGTGGCACGACAACAGGGACCGGGAGGAACAGGGTTCAGGAGAGAGAGTCGACACGAGGGCGGAGGTGGAACCAAAACAGAAAATATACGGGGCTCTCAAAAAGAAAGTAAGTAAGTACAGGAGTAAATACACAGTTTGTACAAATCAAATCATAAGGTAGTTACCGCATGATGTTTTCTCTCTAAAGTTGCATTTTCTTTGATATGAAGATATTTTCGTGGGATTGCTTTAATATTGTTAGCTATCTTGCACAGGTATAGCACACTCATACCTGCTGCCTTTTCTCCGATGAAGTCGTATGTTATCATGCAGGACAGCATTCATCTACACACGGTACATATAGACATTTAAAAGGACAAATGACAACATGGAGGACTTCACCGACACAAAACATCACAGAAAGGTCATGTTTGTATTCACCAAGTCACGTAGATGATGCTAAAGGCGGCTGATTTGACTTATTTCAGAGGCCCTTAGTGATGTACATTTTCAAAATAAAAGCAGTGGTGTCCCAGAACACAAACCTTGATCAGGACTTTAGAAAACGTGTGACGTTTTCAGACAAAGGGGTCTTTCTCCATATCAGGGTTTTGATGAAGAGGAGCGAGCAGGAGAAAGGCACGAAAGGGTTTAGAAGTTCTTCTGGAGCTTCAACATTCGGATGCATTCAAGGGTAGAAGGGCTGGTTCAGTACGTGTGTGTGTGTGTGTGTGTGTGTGTGTGACATTCAGGATGATAAAGACAGATCTTAGTAACTGTCACCTTGTTTATGTTTTTATATCCTGCGTAATTGCTTTTAAAGGTACCCTGTGAAGTTAAGTAGTAGTGTTACCCGAGGTCTGTTTTTCTTTTCGCGAGTAACTGGTGTCATGTGATTCGTCTCTTTAGGACTATAATCATCTGTTTTAAAGGTGACCTATCATGCAAAATGCACTTTTGTACGTCTTTTATACATGAATATGTGTCCCCGGTGTTCCAGGGAACTCACCAAGTGTCAGAAAACACAACCCTCTCTATTTTCCTCCATACCCAAATCTCTTAAAAAGGGGCTGCAACGGATGTGATACAGACTGATCCAGATTTGAACACTTCTGTGACGTCACAGAAGTGGCGCTACGGCTATTGGGCCAACTCCACCAATCAGGAGGAGACAGCCACGGACATTGCCGTTTGAAAGCGCTGGAGACGCTGTAGTACATATCCCAGGCCTGTAGGTGGTGCTGTTCTCACAGAATCAGCCCATGCAAAGGCAGTGTTAAATTGAGCGAAATGAGGAATGGCTAAAATGGATGATCTGTTTGGTATTTTGAAAAAATCAAAAGTATAAATATGCCTTATATAGGTATGGCCCTACACTATATTATTCAAATATAGCATGATAGCTCCACTTTAAGCTTCATTTATAAGCTGACAATGGATTCCTTAATCAAAATGGTTGATTAAAAAAATGGTCCATCCTAGTTTGACATAGTCCAAGTTGATGCCTTGTCTTGTTGTACGAGTATGAATCTTCGTATTTATATATTTTTTCCATTTTAGAATGATAAAATATTTACAATTAGTTGATTATTGTATAAAGAAAGTTGATATAATAAGAATAAAAGGGCTAGCTCATTAAATCTGAGTATATCACTTAGGATCTTTTTAAAGACGTCAAAATAAACGTTGAACGTAAAAAAAGAATTGGTAGCTGTCCTACCATTGATCGACTGTTGGTGATGATAAAACTCCCAACAAAATAAGTATTGCACCAACAAAGGCAAAGAAGACTTCAATCTAGTGGACATGGATGTAGAAAACCAAAGGATTCAAGTTGTATATTCATCTTATAAATTGTTATATGAGACACATTCAGCGAGTTTGTTGACGCTTAAACTCAAACCTACACAGGGTACCTTTAGGTGAGCAACACCTGTATTATCTGAAAATGTCATGAGGTCATAAACATGGAGCAGGGACACCATTACCTCTTTGATCTGACCAAAATTCCATTTTATATATACACCATTGTACAATGTTGCATCACTTCCTGTTTACCGGTTATTCCCATGGTGGAGAGTAGGAGTTGCCATGGGAACAGGTTGTGTAGACATACAGAGACACAGCGACTCGGACACGAGGACAGAAAGTTCAGCATGCTGGATCCATCGGGAAAATAAGAAACAGGAACAGAATGCCTTGTAATGATGTTTTAATGGAATTTTGAAAGATAACCTAGTGTGAACCATTCATTTATGAACATGGCTAGTGTAGAATTGTTTCAAAGTCAAGGTAGTACAGTCTTTATGTTAGTTAAACATGCAATATACTGTTGAAATAGTAAACCAAACGCTCGCTATGAGTGTAAAGCTTGGCTGTGATAGCGATGGACGACAATGGAGGGTCTCATCACAAATAAAAGGCTAGTCGTGGTCTCTTCTGGAACACATATGATCAGCTAACCAAACGCCTGAAACACATACTGTACGTGACTGCACGTTATATACCGTAACAACCAATGCGAAGAGCCTCGTAAAGCACACATTTAAAACTTCACCAACTGCAATCTAACACTCCCACACCTACCTCAAACAAGTCTGCCGTGTTAATATCTAGCCTTTATTTTGATAGCTAAAAGTCTTTAAACACAAAGAAGGAGCATGTGACTATCGCTATGGTGCGGTCGAACATGAAGCGTGTACACGGGGTGGGGAGGACCAGGTTTCAACAGAAAATAATAACACAAATAAGCAAATACAAAACAAAAAGAAATCATCGACATTTGTTCGGTAAAAACAGCAGGATAAATACACAATGAGTCCATTTCTTCCCGTCAGTTTTTTTTTTCTTTTTTCTCGGTTTTAAAAGTTCAGTCCCAGCGGACCGATCAGTCAGTCAGTCCCCACCAGGGGCTTCAGGGTATGCAGTGTTACTTAAAAAGAACATTCTACTAGAAAATGGTAGTAGCTATTGTACATAGTAAGCCGTACACTCATAACCATGACCATATGAAAGAGGGAGGCTTCATTTAAAAATTGCTACAGTCATTTTTTTACTCCATCTCCTTTGTTCATTTTTTTTTTTTAATCTTTTCCTACAATCTTTTTTTCTAAGCCTTCTAACCCAACTGGAGAGAAAACAAACAACAGGTAACTGGGTGTGGGTTTGGGGGGGGGGGGTTGCGGGGAAAAGGTGCATTCAGGGGTTAGAGGAGGGACTTATACGTTACCTGCCAGAAAACTATCAGTCTTATCACAAATGGTAGAGTAGTACGGCGGCTGGTTGTCTCCGGGGTCTCCGGACTCCACGGCCCCCCCGAGGTGGTGATGGGGGTCCAGCGGGTTGACCTCCTCCAGGTGCTCCGCCGCCATCTTCCCCCCCAGCATGTACTCGTCAAGATTTCCGTGCTGGACGTCTCCCGGGAAGCCGAAAGGCGTCAGGTCCACGGGGGCAGCGGTGGTGGAGGGCAGCGTGAGCTCCTTGATGAGGGAGGGGTCCTTGGCCTCCTCCGACAGCTGCTCCTCGTTCTCCAGGCTGAAGATGCCGGGGCTCTTCCCGCAGCTCTCAGCCATGGAGTGGGCGTTGGAGTTGGACGTGGTGCAGTCGAAGCCGTAAGACGCCACCGAGTTGGCCGACTGCGGGGTGGTGCCGCCTCCGTCCTCCTCGCCCTCTCCGCCGCGAGCCTCCTCGTCCTCCGTCAGAGCGGACAGGCTGCAGGTGGGGGGGGGGCTCTCGAACCGGGCGCCCTCATCCATCATCAGCGGTGCGTCGGGGTCGTTGATCTGCATCTCGCCTTCTGTGTCGCTGGCCTCGTCTCCTGAGGTGGAGGGGGAGGAGGAGGGGGCGGAGGCAGGGGCGGTCGGGGGTCCCGTTCCTAGGACTTCGTCGGCGGGGAGGGTCTCGGCCTCCTCCTCCTCCCCGTCTCCTTTCTCCAGGTGGATGCCCAGGTCCTGCTCCATGTCGGCGTGGTGAGGAGGCACCGGGGTCTGCTGCTTGTCAGAGCGGGACTCCACCCCCGAGCTGCTGTCGTAGTCACGGAGCTCCTCGGGCGTGCTCGTCTCGCTGTTGCTACGGACGACAGGGTCAGCGCCTCCTGCTGCGGCGGCAAACAATCCATGAGCCTCGTCATCTTCAGAGTCCTTCATCATCTCCTCCTGCACTGACTCAGGAGCAAAGGACGCGGCGCTGCTGGCCATGTGAGCCGGAGACAGGACAGGGGTCACTGATTCAGCCGCCCCGAGGTCAGAGAGGGGGCTGGGGGAGGGGACGGTGGCCGACTGAGCCCAGGTATCACAGAAGGGGTTGGTCTGACCCCAGGAGGAGGTGGGGGGGGCGCAGGGAGGAGCAGCAGAGCGGTTCAGGTTGTCTAAGCGCTCCTCCTCGTTGAAGTCGTCTTCGTCTACGTTCCCTCCGCTCTCCGTCACTCCTTCACTGTGCATCTCCACATCTTCGTCATCCTCCTCTTCCTCCTGCTGCTGCTGCTGCTGCTGCTGCTGGAACCCTTTGTGATGCTCCTCCACTCTCTCAGAGCTCAGGTCCATGTCGTCCACCCGCTCCTCGTCCTCCTCGTCTTCCTCCTCCTCGTTGGCGAGGGTCTCCACGTTGGGGGATCCCATGAGGTTCCCGTCTCCCTCTGACCCTCGTAGGCTGGAGTCCACCAGGGCGTCGGAGCTCTGCGTGCCCTCCAGCAGGGCCGTGTGCTGCGTGCTGCTCAGGTCCGACTCGCCGGCCGGCCGGCTGCAGCTGCTCACATCCTCCGAGTCCAGCCCGGACAGCAGGTCGTCGCCGTGCCAACCCGCAGACCCCCCGAAGGCAGAGGGACGCACAGCAAACTCCTCGGAGGGCTGAGACGTGCTCATGTCGGTGCCCAGGGGGGAAGGCAGGTGGCCCAGTCGCCTCTGCTCCTCGTCTTCGTCATCCTCCTCATCATCATCCTCGTTTATCTCCTCGTCAGCCTTTTCAACCGCCTCCTCCTTCTCATGGGGGGAGGGCAGGTCATCCATCTGAGGCTCTGCCATCAGGTTGAAGGCCCCCGCAGATGGAGCTTTGGAGGAAGGCATGAACAGGTTCTCCTTCTCCTCTTCCTCCTCTTCCTCCTCATCCTCCTCATCCCTTGTCTGCTGTGTCTCAAACTGGTCCTTATTCTCTTTTTCCTCATCTGTGTAGACGAGGCTCTGGGGAGCAAAGTGAGACGCAGCCATGTCCTGGCTCCGGTCCCAGGGATCAGCTTGGACCTGCATGTCCAGCAGAGAGGAGGCCGGGCACAGAGGAGAGGAAGGAGGAGACATGACGGTGGTTCCCAGGGAGGTGTCTTTAGCAGACTCGGAGAATTTAAAGCGGTCTAGATCATCCGACAACTGATCGACAGAGGCGGCTCCAAGTTCTGCGTCTGACAGGGGTTCTGGGAGGGGCTCTGGAGATGTTTCTCGCACTTGGAATGATTCTGGTTCAGGTTCTGGTGTAGGTTCCCTCACAGGCTCTGGTGCAGGTTCCCTCATAGGCTCTGGTGTAGGTTCCCTCAAAGGCTCTGGTGTAGGTTCCCTCATAGGCTCTGGTGTAGGTTCCCTCAAAGGCTCTGGTGTAGGTTCCCTCATAGGCTCTGGTGTAGGTTCCCTCAAAGGCTCTGGTGTAGGTTCCCTCATAGGCTCTGGTGTAGGTTCCCTCATAGGCTCTGGTGTAGGTTCCCTCACAGGCTCTGTTGTAGGTTCTGGAGTTTTTTCTTGTACCGCTTCGGCCTGGCTGGACATCAGCTGTGGTTCCTCAGCAGCAGCTGGTTCTGGTCCCTCTGGCCCGGCTATGACAGCAGCAGCAGTGGCAATAGCTGCGGCGGCGGCTACCACAGCAGCTATCTCTTTCTCCGGCGCTGCTTCAGGCACCGCTTTGGGGCCGCGCTTCACTGGAGTCGGGGTGCTGCTGCCCACTGTTTTCTTGGGGGCGGGGGTCTTGGATGTTTTCAAGCCAGGAGCCTTGGAAGGAGTTGGCTTACTCTCAGTTTTAGGCCGGGTGGGCGTCTTTGTGTCCTTACTGGCTGCAGGCTTTTTGGCTGGGACGTCTGATTTCGAGGCGGATTTGGGGGCCTCGGGTTTGGCCGACTTTGTGATGGGGGGGCGGGTGAGGGGGGAGTCTGATGGCTTTTTGGATGCTGAAGCAGCAGGTTTGGTAACATCTGGGGGGAAACACAGCACAAGGAATGGTTAAGAATGACAGAATTGAACAGAACTACGGCATTTTGAGATACAGGAAAAAGGGAATGTCTTCAAAATCAATGAATGTCCATTATTTACCTTTCTTCACAGGGGTTGTGGTTCTGGATGTCTGTGATGCTGGAGGCTTGCCACCAGAGGGGGTAGTGGAGGTTAGTCTGGAGGCCGCAGGCTTGGCGGTGGTGATGGAGGAGGTTTTCGGGGTGGTAGTTTTGGGAGTAGCTGGGGAGCTCTTGGCTGTGCTGGAGGTGGGGGTCCGGGTGGGGCCTGTGGCAGGGCGAGATGATGCAGGCGTGCCGGTTGGAGTCCTGAAGAAACAAAAACAAAGAATGAAGAAATAATGAAAAGAGATCTGGGGAAACAATGATGGTATCTCTTCATCATTAATATCTCTACTGGTGTAATCTGGGCTTACTTTCAGTCAACATCCCCACGAGACAGACTTCTTTAATGAGCTTAAAAATATGGTGATTTCCTCATTTACAATTGGAGAGGATTAGGAGTAATTGAAAGTGACTGAAGCTAAGAGTTGTCACGCTATGGCTCAGGGTCAACATCAGGTCCACGAGGAGGTCAGACCTGTCGTACAGAGGCCCAGAACTGATGTGACAGGGAGCAGGACTCTGTCGTGTCACCCGTTAGTCACTTAGAGTGCCAGAGGAAACCCTCAGAGGCAGCGCTAACATGAGCAAGACTGCTCGTGTAGACGTTAAAACAACAATACGTGTAAGGATAAGGAGAGGCTGCTCTTAATAGGGGCTGACCTAAATAGCCGTTCACAGATTTGGCATCAGCCCAGATCCAATACTTCTGAACAGGAGGAAAACACCACTGAAGATTACAACGTCAAAGACAAGAGCGCTGACTGACCCCTTTAATTACTATTGATTTGAAACTCAGACCAGAAGGAGAGAACACATAAGAGTTAGTTTAAAGTCCTTACATTGGTTCCCTGTCAGTTTGTGGATTGATTTAAAACTCAATGTGTTCAAAGCACCTGCCTATTTGTCTGGCATGCTTGCAATGTTATGACCCAGGACACCCCCTCGTTTTCTTGCTTGAGTCTTGACATTTTTTTGTAAGTGCAGCACAGAAGAGTTTAGTAAGTCAGCATGTATTCATGTATTAAAATGTTTCTTTTAATCCCTTTTTCTTAATTTGGGAAATTTCTTCCGCTCAGCAAAACGTAATTATGATGTTTAGACACGTTTAGCCTTGTCTGTGATTTGGATATTGCACTAGTCCATTATTTGTTGATTGTGCAGCCCTTGTTTGAAACGCATTGACCTGTAAGGAAGGCTTTGCTTTAAATAGTTTGATATGCATTTCCTTCATTACAAAATTACAAAAGATTACATTATTAAAGATTACAAAAATCACATTTGAGCCCCAGACCAAGCTCCCTCGGCCCCATGACAAACCCCCCTGAGGGTCTACGAAGTGAGGCAGTCTGGGAGTTGAGTCACAACTGGTCCCAGAGGCCTCACAGCCCCAGTGGACCCTGTCCCTGATCTCCTGTCTAAACTCCAGGCGGTATGCATCAGCCTGGCCCAGAATCTGGCTCCTACGTCACATCTGAGTGAGGTAACCTACATCCATCATCCATCCTAACGGCCTGTTTCTAAATAAAGAACGCAGCTAGTGCTGGCAGAAAGAGAACAGCGAGTGAAGATGGGACCATGTTAAATCTTTTATACTGAAAGGAGAACAAAAATAACTTTCTCCAAATCCCTCCTCGCTGGAACCGGGGTGCCGTTTTTAAAAGCATTGTGTAAGGCAGAGGAGGAAGTGCGTGCCATCAGCAGCCTGGCAGATGAAGGGGAGTACGCCTCGGTAACATGAAATGAGATTACAGCCAGGGAGCAAACGCAAATGGGGTGCGGTCACGTCGGAGGTTCAAACAGGCTTTTACAGCTGATCCAGAGTTGGCTGCAGGGTAGTGAAAGGTGTTACTCACGCTGGTGTTGTTGGAGCATGTTGATGCAGATTAACTCATCTAAAAGCCGTACAAATCTGGGTATGGAAACCACTAACAGACTCATAGGTGACACATTGATTTAGTACGAGGAGCTGACTGTGTTTACTGGAAAGGCTGATGAGAGGAAACATGTTAAATGTTCTTGTAGCAAAACAAAGGCCTTTTTTATTTTGTTATTTTGAGACGCTGAATATGATCATGACTATCAGCTGGAAAAATGTACATTGCTGGGTATGGGGAAATAGTTTTTAATGAATGTCTACATTAAGAAACTTTAGTCTGAGCGAATGCACTTCATGTTATATTTCAGTAACAATTTCTATGACACAAATGTGTGTCATCTTTATGTATGGGCCATGCTAATCTTCTCTGTATGAATTCCATTGTCTATAATGCTGTTTAAATTAACTATTGTCTTATATCTGCTTATACCACTATATCATTTCAATTCTAAACACATTCACATTGCTTTATAACAAATAATAAAGCATTTGATGATGACTAATAAAGGTCAGGTCAGAGTTCCCGTTAGCCGGTAATTACCGGACTATGACCGGTAAAATATGCTGAAGACCGGCAAATCTAAATCTCTCCGGTCGGCGATACGTTGCCCACTCCGCGTCATATCGCTCGATACTTAAACAAATGTACGGGTGGCCTTGGGGCTCCGTAATGGGTTGTTCTAGTTGCGTGTTAGTGGTATGTCCTGTGAGAGAAGAGGTGTTATTCACATAATCTGTAATCTAACCCACCTTACCTACCTGTAAGTCTTAACTGATAAGGAACAGACAGTGTATTCAGCTCTGCGTGTACTTACGCCATAAAACGATTCCCTTT